TATAATGGCTGAGGTATTTGATCCATTTGGATAGCCAAGATATTTTCGATCTTGTATGATTGAGGTGCTTCTAAAATTAATAATATAATTTTATTGATTTTGTCTCTTATCCATAATTATTTATATAACTAGTTTTCAACATATATTATTTTACTAATTCAAATGGGAGATTCACAAGAAAATAATAAAGGAAAAGGAAAAAGAGAGAAAACTATGTAGCTTAGACCAAGGAGGATTCTGATGAATTGTTACAATTGATAGTGGATGCTATAAAAAGTGGACTGCATGATGCTAATGGGTCAATTAGCAAACTAAATGTAGAATCCATTAAAATCTTACAAAATTCCACAGAATCTATTAAAATCTTGATTTAAAAATCTTACAGAATCCATTAAAATCTTAATTTTAAGTCTTGTAGAATCCTGCAAAATCTTAAAAGTCATGAAAATTCTGCAAAGTCTTTTAAAATCCGCAAGATTTTTTTTAACTAAAAAAATCCTTTAAAATCTTAATCCAATACACCCCCTAAGTGTTTGAACGACGTAATAACTATACGAGAGAATAATAAGTTAAAGCATAATCATACAGGTGACATAAATACCTATTTAGAGAAACAAGTAAGGGAGTGAAAGTCATTATTCTACGTGGGAATTATTTTACGCAACAAATGACATCACACGTGATTTACTTGGTCTAAATGTGATTAAGTCAACTAAATTGTGTTTAAGTCATTCCAGGAATGACTAAAACAACCTAAGTGTGACTCAATTAGCATAAATATGACCAAGTTAACTTCTATATGAGTAGGTTGACTACAATATTTTACGTTGTGAGTCAAAATGATATGTTTCTTATTCTCTTTTTCTTGTGTTTGCTTTTATTGCATGATGTTGCAAGCGATTTATATCATATGTTGAGGATGTTGACAATGGTGCCCAATTATTGTGATTGGATTTATACTCTAATAGGATATGACATTAATGTTTAATTAGGATATACTTTTCTTTTGTGATGTTTTAGAATAGTTGTTATTTTCATTATACTATTTTTACTTGGATTTACTTTGGCTTAACTAGGAAATACTTTTCTTTATGTTGAATACATTGAATTTTTTCATTTATGATAGACTTTTAATTTCGTTTTGTTTATTCCATGTATTATGATATCTAAGAAAGAGAACATGTAATTTTTGTATATATACATCGAGATCAATCTTTTTACTATCAAACTTTTATTAAATATAATCATTAGAAATAAAGCAACTATTTCTAAATTGATAGAACACTAACTGTCAATCAAATCTAATTCGACTTTTATTCCACTTTCGTGTTTCCAATTTCACACCATTAATTAATTTATGATGTCCTACTTTCTACTCTCTTGAAAATTTGATAAAGCCTAGTTACTTGTTTTAATTAATTTTGTTGCAAATTTAAATAGCATTTGAAATCGATATGTGTACGAGTTATTATTACAATATAAGTTGGTTTACTTTTATATTATATTACTAATATTGTGGGTGATAGCAAAGATTATAATAATATTTATTTTAAAAAAATTATTATTTGATTATGTTAAATCGTCTAATTTAATTATGAAATAAAATGATTCTTTAGTGAATATTAAAACACTTATTTGTATGTGTTTCAATATGAATTAGTTAGTATAATAAATTAGTAAAATTAATTTATTAATAAAGATATCATTTTTTAAAAATCCAACACACACAAAATGGATATCATATCAATCTAACATAGAATATTTAATGCTCAAAGTTAGAATTTGACTATGGACAACTTATTTAAGAAATATAAACTTTTGTTACTTGTACTAATTAATATTGGTCGATGAATATCTTCTTAATTAATCATTATTCAACAATAATTGATTCATATCCAATATTGATTCAACTTGCTAGTCCTTTAAGACATTAAAAGTCTAAAATTAAAATATAATAAATAAGTTGTTAATTAAGTTACTCTCATGTCATAAAACACTATTACATATTTTTCTTCATGATTTTTTATTGACATTTTAAAAGTAATGTTAACTGATAAATTTTTAATTGAGTTAATTCAATTCACATGTATATATGCATCATTTGTCTCTTTATGTAATAATTATTAATCTTTATTCAATAAAAGTCATCATATTAATTTGTCTAGATTATTCATATCATATTTACCATAAACTTATGATTGATCGTAAGGGTAACATCTCAAAAAAATTTAAATAAAATAAATTGAATTTTCTTTAATAAAAAATAATATTATAAGTTTGATTAATTAGTTATTAAATTGAGTTTATAAAGTAAAAAAAAAAGTTACTAATTAAATAAAATAAAATAAAAAAGGTGAGAGAAAGAAAAAGAGTTTGAGTAGGAATCTCCTGAAGACTTTTTGAAACAACCAGGAGTTTAAGTTTCCTTTACGCACTTTTTTGAAATCCTCCTAAAAGCACTTGTAGAAAAACAAATAGAAGAGACCATTCAAGCGAGTGCAAAGTAGCATCTAGGGCTACATGGAATGCATAATATTGCAGAATCATTACTAAAGGTAAGGGGAGTGTGAACATGTATAAAGGATAAAATTAATGAGATAATCTTGGAACCTTTTAGGTTTCTATTCAGATTTCTGGTAAAAAGAAATATCTAAAACCTGTGATCCACTTCCCACAATAGTCCTTTAAGAGCCCTCCAAAAACCTGTTACACCCGAGGTACCAAGGGATGAGCCATCAATGTTAACTTTAACATCATTGAAAGGAGGGGGATCCATGGAACAAAACGAACAGGTCTGCAAACAGTAAGCTTGAGAAGAACATGAGTGATGATATTGTGGAGAGTTCGAATTCGGTTAATCATGTAGCAATATGTTCACAGAGTACCGTCAAAGGAATTGACATTCCTTGAAAGCCAAAGAAACCATCAAGTCATGAAAAACCAGACATAAAATGTTGGTATGTAACTTAAATTTAAGTCTAACTCAACTTTATAAAATTAGTTTGTAAAAAAAAATTTATTCTTCGCTTATATATTATTTAATTATCTTATCTTTAATTAATAATGGACTTGAATTTTTTTCGATAGAACATTTTCCTTGGATATTCACTCGAAGACATTTTGCATGTTTCTTTAGAGTCCAAATCTGCTCGTAAGGGTGACGAAAAAATTGAAATAGATGAAATAATTTACATCCTATATGATGAGCCAGTGAAACAAGAATTCTGAGATACTTACTAGAGGGGGAAAAAGATGGTGCTGACTAAGGATTCATAACGAATAGGAAACTGGTTACATCTTGTGTAGTAAATATGATTGACATTTGAGTATGATGTTAATCTTGATTATTTTTTGGGATGAAGTCTTCACTTCTTCTTTATCTAAATGACCAACAACAAGATCATGGTTACCAAAACGTTGGACAGATATGATTATGTGTTTATTGGGGTATACAATTAATCCCTTTGGCCTTTGCACGAGATTTTCTTTGAATCTTCGCCGCAAAATGAAAAAACATCCATACGCGACATAAAGTCAGAGATAGTTTGGTAAATATGATCAGAGCACTAATATAACATCTAACCAAATAATAAATAGTTTCTTATTAGGTAAAGATGACGAGTCAACTATTTAATCTACATTATTGAATTAAGTAATTAATTACTAGAATCGTAAATGAATAGTACAATTCTTATGTAAATCTGTCGAGTCACATAAGATCTTCCAAATAAATTGCGTTAATAAATTAAATAATTAACTTAAAAAATAAAAACTAATTATCGATTATCATAAGATCTTCCAAATAAATTGTCCTAAAATCCTCACCAATTTATTATCTAAATGGCAAAAAAACAGGATCATAGTTACCATAATGGACGGACATGATTATGAGTTTATTGGGTAACATGGTTAATCCCTTTGCACAGTATTTTTTTTTTTTTTGAATCTTCGTAGCAAAATGAAAAATGTCGGTACGCGATATGCAGTCATAGTTTCATACAGACTGTAGTAAGTATAAGCAGGATCACAATTGAGAAAATAATCTATTTTGATTTTTTTTTCTATGTACATGTGTTGCTATGTTTTAATCAAAACTGCAAATAGAAAAACCAGTTTCTATTTTGATGTATTTTACTAGATAAATAAAAAAAAAATACGTTATATAGTTGGAATTGTAATAGAAAAAAAAAAAAAAAAAAAAAAAAAAAGAGCATTTCAATGTCACTATGACATTTTGTTGCTTAATTTGTGCAATGTTACTAGTTGGATGACCACGTTTGAAAGTTTCACTGAACACACTTCCCTATATAATTTGACTAATTACTATATATTAAGCTTCGATGATGACTTGATGAAGATAGAGACCTCTTGTAAATTAGTTGTGAGAAATGAGTAAAAACCTAGTAGATAAACTTAGTTATCAATAAATAAAAATATATAAAAAGATTACTACAGTTTAAGATCCAGTTGTGTGCATAGAACTTTTAAGTGACTAGGCATGAGTCTAACTCCTCGTTAATTAAAACGAGCTATAAGAGATTGCACCTATTATGTGTGTTATAGAACTTCTTTTTATTGAAATTTATAATTAAGAGTATTAATATAATATCTAATCGAATAATAAATAGTTTCTCGTTAAATACATATGACAAGTCAGCTATTTAAACTATATGATTGAATAAATCATGGAATCCTACTGCATGAGTAAGATTCTTAATATATATGTAACAAGATCTTCCATATAAATTTTCTAAATAAAATAGTTAACTTAAAAGCTGGAAGATTAGTTTTAATTAGGGACGAGATAACTCCATGTGAGGATCGAATTTCAATCTTCATTTTCATAAACTAAACAAATTTTGGTCATGCTAACTCACTTAGAAATATATAATTGTTGAAATATAAACTTGATTTTAGGTGTTATTGGTCTAAATAAATTTCTCTATGATAGGTGAGATTAGAAGTTTATGAAATTGATTCAAATTAACATGTTTGACTTTTCAATATAATTTGTATAAGAAATTAAATAGGACAGAATTAATAGGTACTACTCTAAAAATATATCAGAGTAAGATAGTTATTAGAAATATAACTAAATACATATTGCAATCTTGAAATTCAAGGATATAGAATCAATGTCTTATTTAAGATTCTTAGTTAAACATTCAACATCTAAGGTATGTAGCCACATTGTTCTCAATTTCTTCTTTGGCTGGTTCATCAAATACTTCCTCCCCAACATATAAATCTAGAATTGATTTACATAGGAGTTTGCTCTGGATGCTTCCTACTTCCTGTCCATCAACTACAAGAAACAAGATAAATTGCATAATTTTTAGTCAGTTTGGACTACGGTATAATGTATAAGGGGACACTCCTTAAGTTAGACTCAATTCTAAATGAAAAAAATAGAAAGAAGAAATATATTCATGAATTCTCAAGTAAGTCTTCTAAGTCATTAAGACTTGATTTTTTTCTTACACAAGCACAATTGATGCAGGAAAAATATTTTGAAATTAATTATAATTCTAAAACTTCATATGAAAATGCGCAGACATGGAGAAAGATGACTCACTCAATGTGTGAAGAACATGACCCTTTTCTCTTAAGAGATGAATCACAGATCCACAAGGTATTTTGTATTCATCTCTAAACTGTGAAGTGAACCTACATCACCTCATGTAAGTGAAATAAAATTATAATGTGGAACAGAAAATTCTTATAAACTGGGATGGAAAAAATTACATACTATAAACAAATACTTAGAATAAAATTTTCTATTGATTATCAACGCTAATATAACAACAACTACGATAAAATATTCTTTTAAGTTTATCCTCATTCCTTCTTCTGTCTTTGTATGCCAAAAATGTCATTTCATTCCAATAAAATTTCTTTTTTCCTTCAAAATTTGGAGTGATTAGAGCTAAAAGAAGAAAAAAGCTTCAAATAAACAAGAGTTCTGAAGTCTAACATTGCAATGTATGTTAGGTCCAGAGTAGGCTTAATAGTTACTCACAGCTCCATTCGTGATTCTAGATCTTTTTCATCGATTGGATTGAAGCTTTTGGACATTTTTCTAAGGTTTGGATGATTTGAGGTTAGTGCTTTGTGAAACCATATTTTGAAAGCCTTTCTTTGTGTGTGTTGTTCTGGATTCACATTCTACTATTGGAAATGCATTTTGAAAGCCTTTCTTTGTGAAACCATTAGTTATATGATGGGAGCTATGATGTTTTGAGTGTGTTTGTGGTTTGCCTGGTTGTGTGTGGAAAGCAAGCTGGCTTTGCTTGGTTCTGGCTTGGGAGAGTTGACGAAGAATGTGTGAAATGGTGAGGTTCCATTTCCATCATGCCCCGTGGCCTTACCTCACCTCACCTCCTTCTCTCTTCTTTTATATCCTCTCTTTTGAACTCCCTGTCACCGTTTCTTTCTTCAACTTTTTTCTTTTATTTGACTCACACTTTGACTATCCACAATCTCCTAAGAATGTACAATGTATAAACCCTCGCGTGCGTGAAGAAGACAAAGGCGCGCTAGAGGGGAATAAAAAGGTTTTTTTACGTCGGATCACACGAGGTCGGACGTCAAATTTGAAATTTACGTTGAGTCTAGCTACAATTCGACGTTGATTTCAAATTTTACGTCGAACACCATGTGGTTTAATGTAAAAAAATTTTCTTTAATTTCAAAAACTCTGTTGTCCCATTGTATCTAAATTGGTTTCTTCTTCAACCGTGGTAATAAGGTGATTTAAAACAAAAAAAAAATATTGTGTGCTAGAAAGTACTAAAAAGTAGAAAGAATGGTGTGATGTGAGCAACATTTGTGGATAGTCAAAGTGTGAGTTGAATAAAAGAAAAAAGTTGAAGAAAGAAAAGGTGACAGGGAGTTCGAAAGAGAGGATATAAAAGAAGAAAGAAGGTGGTGAGGTTTGCTAAAGCCACGTGACATGATGGAAATGGAACCTCACCACTTCACACATTCTTCGCCAACTCTCCCAAGCCAGAACCAAGTAGAGCCAGCTTGCTTGCCACACAAAACTAGGCAAACCACAACCACACTCAAAACATCATAGCCCCCAATGTATAACTAATGTACATGATTTCACAAAGAAAGGCTTTCAAAATGCATTTCCAATAGCAGAATGTGAATCTAGAACAACACACACAAAGAAAGGATTTCAAAATATGGTTTCACAAAGCACTAACCTCAAATCGTCCAAACCTTAGAAAAATGCCCAAAAGCTTCAATCCAATCTGAGAAAAAGATCTGGAATCACGAATGGATGTCGTTGCTACTGTCACCACCATTCACCATGACTGGAAACGCCCAAAGGTAGGGTATAAACCCTTCATCAAAAATCTCCTAAGAATGTACAATGTATAAACCCTCGCG